TCGAGAGGGTGGGTGGCCAGCACAACGCCCGGCCGCCTTTGTCTCCCCCAGTGGCGATGTTCACACACGGCCGGGGTTATCAAAGACACAAGCGCTCTCTCCCCACGTGTAGCCTACATAGACTGCTGGTGCAAGTGCTTTTAGCGAGCACCTATTGTGGCCGGCAGTGGGGGGGGGGGGGGTGGACGAGCGTGATGAGGCGGCGTGAATCAAGCCCCACTCCCGGCCGCCTTTGTTTCCCCGGGGCCGATACACCGGAACGTGCTGGCTCTCTGATTCAGCGTCGCCACTGCCAGGCCGGGCCCACTAGAGGGCGCTGAGCGCGGCGCCGTCCAGATGGAGGAGATCGTGAGATCGTGATTGTGAGATCGGCGAGATCGTGATTGTGATATCAGCGAGATCGTGATTGAGGTCAGTGAGATGATCATGAGATCATGATTGTGAGAATCGTGAGATCATGATTGTAAGATATTGCTGTTGTTTTGCTGCCTTTCCCAAGTTTTGGAATCGATGTACTTGTGCAATTTGAACTTAAGTTTATCTCTTTTACACATTTATTGTAAGGAGTTTGTTTACCTTTCCACACTTTGTACTCGTGTCGTATTTGGGTGTCTGTGTTTGTGGTGGTGGTTGTTGTTGTTGTTGTAACTTTCTGACGCCGTGCCCCGACTGAACATCCGTTAAAAAGAGCTTCATAGCTCATCGGATTCCTCCAGAATAAATACAGATTCTCATTCTATGTGTGTGTGTCAGTGAGGTTGATGCATTGAGCGCAGTTATTGTTGTTGTAAGTTATTGGTGGGGGTGGTGATGATGGTGGTGATGATGGTGGTGGTGATGGTGGGGGTGATGATGATGGTGGGTGGTGATGGTGATGGTGGTGATGATGGTGGTGGTGGTGGTGATGGTGGTGGTGATGGTGGTGGTGGTGGTGATGGTGGTGATGATGGTGGTGGTGATGATGGTGGTGGTGATGGTGGGGGTGATGATGATGGTGGGTGGTGATGGTGGTGGTGGTGGTGATGATGGTGGTGATGGTGGTGGTGATGGTGGTGGTGATGATGGTGGTGGTGGTGATGATGGTGGTGGTGGTGATGATGATGGTGGTGATGGTGGTGGTGATGGTGGTGGTGGTGATGGTGGTGATGGTGGTGGTGATGGTGGTGGTGATGGTGGTGGTGGTGATGGTGGTGGTGGTGATGATGGTGGTGGTGGTGGTGATGGTGGTGATGGTGATGGTGGTGATGATGGTGGTGGTGATGGTGGTGATGATGGTGGTGGTGATGGTGGTGATGATGGTGGTGATGGTGGTGATGATGGTGGTGGTGATGGTGATGGTGGTGGTGATGTTGGTGGTGGTGGTGATGGTGGTGGTGGGAGAGGGAATTCCAGAGCGGAGCAGTGTGAGGGAAGAAGCGGAGAGAGAGGTGAGGTGAGGTGACCTGCAGGTGTGGTGAGAGGATGGGTGAGTGAGTGGGGGAGTAGGTGAGTGTATGCGTGGGTGGGTCAGTGAGTGAGTGGGTGAGTTAGTGGGGGAGTAGGTGAGTGTATGCGTGGGTGGGTCAGTGAGTGAGTGGGTGAATGGGTGGGTCAGTGAGTGAGTGGGTGAGTTAGTGGGGGAGTAGGTGAGTGTGTGCGTGGGTGGGTCAGTGAGTGAGTGGGTGAGTGGGTGGGTCAGTGAGTGAGTGGGTGAGTTAGTGGGGGAGTAGGTGAGTGTGTGCGTGGGTGGGTCAGTGAGTGAGTGGGTGAATGGGTGGGTCAGTGAGTGAGTGGGTGAGTGGGTGAGTTAGTGGGGGAGTAGGTGAGTGTGTGGATCAGTGAGTGAGTGGGTGAGTGGGTGGATGAGTGAATTAGTGGGTGGGTGAGTAAGTTGATGAGCGAGTGGCTGGGTTATTGGGGGAGTAGGTGTGTGAGTGGGTAGGTGGGTCAGGGGGTGAGTGGGTGAGTGAATAAGTGAGTGGGTGAGTGAATCAGTGGGTGGGTGAGTGAGTTGAGGAGCGAGGGGGTGAGTGAGCGGTGAAGTAGGTGAGTGTGTGGGTGGGCAAGTCAAGAAGTGAGTGAGTGGGTGGGTGGGTGGGTGAGTGAGTGGGTGGGTGAGTGAGTGGGTGGGTGGGTGAGTGGGTGAGTGGGTGGGTGGGTGAGTGGGTGGGTGAGTGAGTGGGTGGGTGAGTGGATGAGTGGGTGGGTGAGTGGGTGAGTGGGTGAGTGAGTGAGTGGGTGGGTGAGTGAGTGGGTGGTTGGGTGAGTGAGTGAGTGGGTGGGTGAGTGGGTGGGTGAGTGAGTGAGTGAGTGGGTGAGTGAGTGGGTGAGTGAGTGAGTGAGTGGGTGGGTGAGTGGGTGGGTGGGTGGGTGAGTGAGTGAGTGGGTGGGTGAGTGGGTGAGTGAGTGGGTGGGTGAGTGGGTGAGTGGGTGGGTGGGTGAGTGGGTGAGTGAGTGGGTGGGTGAGTGGGTGAGTGAGTGGGTGGGTGAGTGGGTGAGTGGGTGGGTGAGTGGGTGGGTGAGTGGGTGAGTGGGTGGGTGAGTGAGTGGGTGGGTGAGTGGATGAGTGGGTGGGTGAGTGGGTGAGTGAGTGGGTGAGTGAGTGGGTGACTGATTGGGTGGGTGATTGGGTGGGTGGATGGGTGGGTGGATGAGTGAGTGGATGGTTGAGTGGGTGGTTGAGTGGGTGGGTGAGTGAGTGGGTGGATGAGTGGGTGGGTGGGTGAGTGGGTGGGTGGGTGAGTGAGTGGGTGAGTGAGTGAGTGGGTGGGTGAGTGAGTGGGTGGGTGGGTGAGTGAGTGAGTGGGTGGGTGAGTGGGTGGGTGAGTGAGTGGGTGACTGATTAGGTGGGTGATTGGGTGGGTGGATGAGTGAGTGGGTGGGTGAGTGGGTGGGTGAGTGGGTGGGTGAGTGGGTGAGTGGGTGAGTGGGTGGGTGAGTGGGTGAGTGTGTGTGTGTGGGTGTTAAAGGCCAAAACGCCAGGCGACTGGCAACAGTGCAGTAAAACAACACCCGCCTGGGTTTGGAGGCGCTCATCCAGCAGTGGATTAGGAGAGGGGGGGAGAGTGAGAGAGGGGGTGAGGGGGGGGTGAGAGGGGGGGTGAGAGGGGGGGGGGGGGAGAGGGGGGGCTCTGCGGCAGCCCGCGAGACCACGATGCGAGTCCGTGACCTTGCGGGGCCAATCTCGCCCGCTCACCCACCCACCCGCCAACTCACCAACTCACCCACCCACTCATCCACCCGCCAACTCACCAACTCACTCACCCACTCACCCACCCGCCAACTCACCAACTCACCCACCCACTCACCCACCCACTCACCCACCCACCCGCTCACCCACTCACCCACCCACTCACCCACCCGCCAACTCACCAACTCACCCACCCACTCACCCACCCACTCACCCACCCACCCGCTCACCCACTCACCCGCTCACCCACTCACCCGCTCACCCACTCACCCACCCGCTCACCCACTCACCCACCCACTCACCAACTCACCCGCCCACTCACCTGCTCACTCACCCGCTCACCCACTCACTCACCCACTCACTCACCCGCTCACCCACTCACCCGCTCGCTCACCCGCTTGCCCTTCCACCTGTTTACCCGCCCGCTCACCCGCTCACTCATCCACCGACCAACTCACCCTACGGCTCACCCGGCCCACTCACCCTACAGCTCACCCGGACCACTCACCCGGCCCACTCACCCTACAGCTCACGCCGCGCACTTCAGCCGCTCAAACTGGTTAGGCGGGATCGGAGAGGGGCGAGGAGAGAGAGAGAGGGAGAGAGAGAGAATGTGGACAGAGTGGAGAGAGAGAGAGGGGGGGGAGAGAGAGATGGGGGCGAGGAATACTAGTGGAGAGAGATAGAGAGAGAATGTGGACAGAGTGGAGAGAGAGGGGAGGGAGATGGGGGCGAGGAATACTAGTGGAGAGAGATAGAGAGAATGTGGACAGAGTGGAGAGAGAGGGGAGGGAGATGGGGGCGAGGAATACTGGTGGAGAGAGATAGAGAGAGAATGTGGACAGAGTGGAGAGAGAGGGGAGGGAGATGGGGGCGAGGAATACTAGTGGAGAGAGAGAGAATGTGGACAGAGTGGAGAGAGAGAGGGGGAGAGAGAGATGGGGGCGAGGAATACTAGTGGAGAGAGAGAGAGAGAATGTGGACAGAGTGGAGAGAGAGAGAGGGGGGGAGAGAGAGAGGGACAGAGTGGAGAGAGAGAGAATGTGGACAGAGTGGAGAGAGATAGAATGTGGACAGAGTGGAGAGATGGGAATGACAGTTTATTCATCTATGGTTTGAAAATGTTTAACTTTCATCCACATCGACGGTCTGGAGACCTTTGAAGGAGGTGGTGGGCACGAGAGAGATAGAGGAATACTAGTGGAGAGAGATAAGAAGTTTCAGAGAGAGAGGGGGGGGGGGGAGGAATCTGTGGAGAGTTGGGAGATAGAGAGACAGCAGAGTGAGAGAGATGCATGCACGAGAGTAGAGCTAGATGAGACAGATATAGGGGGGGGGGGGATTGAGGAGATGTAGAAAGATCTCTATAAATAGTGCAGTGAGACGAGGGATAGGGGGTGGAGATAGCGGGAGATGGGGGCAGTTGACAGACAGGGATACGTGGCCTGAGATTGGGTAAGGAGCTGGGAAGATAAGCCAGGAGAGAAGATGGTAGGGAGATAGACGTAGAGGCAGATATGATTAGGAGATAGACATTGGGGACACAGATCGACAGCGATTGTGGGATATACACACGGAGGGCGTAGGAGATAGAGATAGACAGAGGGAGATAGACAGAGGGAGATAGACAGGGGGGGTGGGAGGAGATGGGCGAGGTAATGACGTCAATGGGTCATGAGCTGGAGGGGGGTGGGGGTGGTGGGGGTGAGTGGGGGGTGAGAGGGAGAAAGAGGGGGCGAGTGGGGGGAGGCGGTGACGATTCGGGTGGCGTGGGGTGATGCTGGAGGAGTGGTGGTGGTGGTGGTGGGGGGAGGTGTGGTTTGGTGATGATGGTTCGAGTGTGTGAGTGTGTGAGTGCGCGTGTGGTTGTGTTCACGCCCTCCGTCGGTATAAATAAGAGCTCCGTCACAGTCAAAATCGCACAGTCACTCGACCCAAGTCTCGCTAGTCGGTGTCCGTGCGTGGACCATCGAGCGTCGTTGATCGCTGCTGCCCAAGCGAGTAGGAGGACCAGAGCAAGCGAGACGACATCCGCGAGTCGGCGAGAGAGGGTCTCAGTCGACGTACCCCCCCGCCCCGTCCGCCTCTCTCTCTCTCTCTCTCCTGCCCCCCTCCCCTCGCACGTCTCCGAATAGTCCCGGCCACAATGCGTCAGCACTCTCAGCTCGAGAGCCCCAACTTCTACCACGAGATGGACGTGAGCCTCTCGCAGGATCTCAAATCCGCCAACCTCGCCGCCGCCGCCTCCTCCTCGTCGTCGTCGTCCGCACAGGCAGCTGCAGCCCCATCGGCACCTCTTCATCATCATCATCAGCAGCAGCAGCATCATCAGCAGCAGCAGCATCAAGCTACTGCCACCACGCTGATGCTTTTGAATGACAGTGCACACTTGTCCTCGCTGGAGCCCTTGGGTCAGCTTCATCAGCACCACCAGCACCATCAGCAGCACCATCAGCAGCACCATCAGCAGCACCATCAGCAGCACCATCAGCAGCACCATCAGCAGCAGCAGCAGCAGCTGGGTGACGCGTACGAGAATTCCATCGACCTGAGCTCCTTCATCTCGCCCGAGGTGGGATCCGCAGCTCCGCAGCAGATAGGGGGAACCTTCTCAGAGTTCTACGCCGACGAGTTCCTCGGAGACCTCTTCAAGAACGACTGCAAGAGCCACGTGGAGGGCGACGAGGCACAGCAGCAGCAGCAGGAGGAGGAGGAGGCGGAAGGAGAGGAGGAGGCGATGGTCGATCGTAAGATGCAGCTGCACGAGATGCAGCAGCAGCAGCAGCAGAGCCATCAACAGCTGCTCCTGCAGCAACAGCAGCAGCAGCATCAGCAGCTGTGTGACGATTCGGACGGATTTTTCTTCCATCACCAGAAGAGCCACAACAACAACAACAACCACCAGCACCAGCACCACCACCACGCCGCTCCTGGCGGTGGCGGATCGCTGCAGTCGCTGCTCGGCTGTGACCCACAGCTCGCCGAGACTCGCCTCGAGATGATCTTCGGCGGCAACCACGGACTCCCGATGTCCGCCTCGGTCGCCGCCGGTGGTGGCGGGGCCGCTGCGGGCGGCGGCGCTGGCGTGAGGATGGCGGTGGTGAAGATGGAGCCGAGCGAGGATGAGTCTGAGACGTCCTGCAGCGGCGGGACACCGTCACCGGGCAAGGGCAGCGGCAGCGGCAGCAGGAGAGGTGCCGGCGGCTCGGGCAAGCGGTGTCTGGACAAGGCAAGCGACGAGTACCGATTGAGGAGACAGCGGAACAACCTCGCGGTGCGTAAGAGTCGTGACAAGGCAAAGGTGCGCTCGCAGGAGACACAGAGCCGGGTACTGCAGCTGTCGGCGGACAACGAGAGGCTTCGGAGACGCGAGGATCAGCTGGTGCGTGAGATCACGGCGCTCCGAGCGCTCTTTTCCGACCTGCAGAGTCAGCAGCATTGACGAGATGGAGGTGGTGGTGGTGGTGATGGTGGTGGCGGCGGTGGTGGTGGTTGTTGGTGCTGATGATGATGATGATGTCGGTGGTGATGACCAACGCTGTGGAGGGTCGTTCAAGCGCGTCCGTGTGTGTCGGCGCAGGCTGAGGACTTTGTCAGAACTTGGTGGTGGTGGTGGTGGTGGAGGAGGAGGAGGAGGGTTGATGTGGGACTCGATTCGAGAATGACAGAAAATCTGACCCCCGAGTCTCGGACGTCTTCCCGCTTGGCGAGAGATATTTCTCAGCAGGATAACTTACCAAGAAGATAAGTCGGGCTGAGATGTCTCTGAGCGAGATAAACTTCTCAGCAACAGAAGGCACCAAGAAGATCTGCGGGCTTGAGATGTCTCCCCTCTGAGCGAGAGAGAGAGATAACTTTTCAGCAGCAAAACGTACGAAGAAGATCTGCGGGCAGAGATGTCTCTGAGCGAGATAAACTTCTCAGCAACAGAAGGCACCAACAATATCTGCGGGCTTGAGATGTCTCCCCTCTGAGCGAGATTACTTCATGGCCACACTTATCACGCCGCTCACGTTGGAGCTGCGCGCGTCTCCTCCTCAACAGAAAAAAGTTTATCCGCGGTCGTCAATTGTGGACGTCGAATCTCAAACTGCTCTTGTTTGACACGAGGAGGACGAGGAGGAGGAGGTCACGCCCTCCACATGTTGTGTGACTTTTAACGGACAATCTCCGATTGTGATGTTTGGAATGATGATAGTTGGATATTGTATATTGTATATGTGTGTGTGTCTGGGATATCCACCTTGTCTTAATAATAATAATCATATATAGATTTTTTTTTCCCGTAGCTGATGAAGATTATTGCACTTGAAATATAGCAATCTTGGCTGCTGATGGTGATGATGGTGGTGGTGGTGATGTTAATAATAATGAGGGAGGGAGGAGATTGAGATCACCAATGTCATGATGCCAAAACAACAACAAAATCGACGAACAATTCAGGGTCAAAGATTGGTTATTTTGGCTGAACAACAACAACAAAAACCTCAACAACCTCAACCACCGCCATCATCGCCGCTCCCTGCTGTGACTTCTGCCCAGCTCTGCGAGCCGCGTGCCAGACTTGAGCAGGGAGCTGTGAAGCCACCTACGTGTCGGATAGCTCTGCTGCTAAGAGCCCCTGGGTCCCAGGAGTGGATGGGGTCGGTGGGTCAGGAGGTGCACGTGCGAATGAGCGGGTGGGTGAGAGACTTTGGGTGGGTGAGAGACTTGGGTGGGTGAGAGCCCTTGGGTGGGTGAGCGGATGGCCTAGTTGATGGGCCCACGTGAATGGGGACGGCTTGTGTCCTTTGCCTTTTTAAAAGGAATGTTTTAAACTCGCTCCGCTTGGAATAGGACTGGAACATCTGTTTTAAACAACAACAAAAAAACCAAGAGCTTCACAGCTCATCGGATTTCTCCAGTATGAATATTCTGATTGTGCTTTCGGATAGGTTACCCGACGTGCCTTGGACTCGTCCACCAAACTTCGTGAGGCCCGTGCCTTTTTAAAGACTTTTCGTAGTCACCTTCACGAGCAGCCTTTGTGAGACGAGTCTGCGAACGAGTGGGCGAGCGAATGAGTCTGAGAGGGAAGTTGAGGAACGACGGAGTGAATGAGTTAGGGGGGGAGGGCGCGTATGGTGAAAATGAAGTCGAGCGAGTAAACGAATCGTACTCGAGACGGGATCGACAATTTTCGCGTGGCAAGACGAACGACTAAGAAACGAGAATCAGTCAGATGGAATGAGTGACGCGAATGAGTGCGATAGGAATGACTATCGCTTTTAAAAAAAAAATCGACACTGAATCCCAAAGTTTTGATCAGCCGCGTCTTTATGCTGTGAAGTCTTCTATAACGATCGGACCACACACACGCACGCACACACGCGCGTGTGTGTGTGTCGTGCCGTGTACATACTTAACATAAGCTAATATATTACAGAAAAAGTGTCGATATATATTACAAAAAGCAATGCCTATCTATATCGTGGGCGCGACCCTTATATATTATATAATAATTGTAACAGAGAGAGGGGACGTCTACGTGGGAGATATTTTACGAAGTGATGGTTTATTTTTACCGGGAGGGAATAACTTAAAGTGATGTTTTGGAGTGAGGATCGCCCGCTCGGGGTGTAAAGATGTCGCTGTGCACAGATGGTCGATCGTTCCACAACAGTAAAACACATCAGCAGCAGCCAGCAGCAGCAGCAGCAAGGTGACACGTTGAAATTTGAATGAGTGCAAACGTTTCGGAGGCTAGGACCCTCCTTGAGCGCTTGGCAGGGGGATAGTAGTTGGGGAGGGGGGGTGTTGGTCACAGTCTTGAGACTGGGAAAAAGTCTCCGATGTTTGTAGTTTAGCAGGTAAGGTCCCCACCACCACCACCATTGAGCTTCTACGACATAGCTCGGTTTTTTTTTGTCTGTCAGAAACGAGGTGGCTATCCCAAGTGGTGATAACGGCTCAACAACAGTTGGATGTTGTCGACTGGACATTTCCAGCGGCCAAATAACTCCTTAACACTCCTCGTCGTCGTTGTTGATGATGATTCTAAATGTGGAAGGGGAAAAAACAAATCGTAGGAGCCGGAGTGGGGGGATAGTCGGAGAGAGATGGAGAGAGAGACACAGAGACAGACAGAGAGATATAGCGACAGAGAGAGACACAGAGAGAGACACACACACACACAGACATATGGACAGACAGATATAGAGACAGAGAGATAGAGAGAGACACACACAGAGAGATATAGAGACAGAGAGAGAGACACAGAGAGACACACACAGAGACAGATAGAGATACAGATAGACAGAGAGACACACACACAGAGACACAGAGATACACAGAGAGACAGAGACTGCAAACTCCAAACACACAGCAGCAGGCGTCGTCAGGGTCGGGATCGAGCACCACGACCTCCTGCGCACCAGGCGAGAGAGTTAACATCTCATAGCAGTCCTCTTCACACGGAGTGACTGGCTGTCCTACCGCGTGTTACTTCAGCGGGCTGTTGCTGTTCCTGTTGTGGTCGCACGCGTTGGGGGCTGGGGGGGGGTGGTCACAGTACGTTCCTGCTGTTGCGTTATGGCTATCGTCCAGTCGTTGAGACTGCTGCTGCTGATGATGATGTTGTTGATGATGCTGCTGATGATGATGATGTTGTTGTTGCTGCTGATGATGATGTTGTTGAAGTCATCAGAGCTGTCGTCAAATGATGATCTACGTTGTCCTATGCAGCCGAAGCGAGGCAACGGCGTTTACCCATTTCCCGTCTCGTGTACCAAATAAAAGTGACAACACCGATATTTGTTGTGTTGTTGTTGTGTGTTGTGGTGGTGGTGGTGTGGGGAGCGGTGGCGCAGTGGTTAGCGCCGCAGCGCTACACGAAGCCGGCGACCCCGAGTTCCATTCACGGACAGCACCGTGACGCATCAGCGAATCCGGTCCTGGGTCTCCCCTAGGTCGACTCTGCCTTAAACGAGTATCTGGTGCTGCGCTGAAACGTCGGTATTGGGGAGACATAGACGGCCCGGTGTGGGGATGTCCACCCTACCCCCTTAACGCGCTAGTAGCACTTGACCCAAGATACTTGTGGAGTCTACACAGGCGGGGGGAGGGTCTTTGTCTTTGTGTGTGCATGTTGCACACTCAAAGAACTCACGCGCAAAGACAAAGATCCCGCGCCCGCGTGTGGACCCAGCAGACCGTCGGGGCAAGTGCTGTGAGCGAGTAGCGAGCAACTACGGCATGGGTGGTCAGAGCCACGCCCGGCCGTCTTTGTCTCTCCCCAGTGACGATGTTTACTACACGAGGCCCAGGGCCGGTTCAATAAACGTCACTGGGTGTTGGCCGTGAGCGGGAATTGAACATTCACACACCAAGACACACTCACACTAAAACACACTCATACCTACACACACACACACACCAAAACACACTCATACCTACACACACACACTAAAACACACTCATACCTACACACACACACACACACTAAAACACACTCATACCTATACACACTCAAACTAAAACACACTCATACCTACACACACTCATACCTACACTCACAATAAAACACACTCACACCAAAACACACACCTGCAATCACACTAAAAGACACTCATACCTACACACACACACTAAAAGACACTCATACCAACACACACACACTAAAACACACTCATACCTATACACACTCAAACTAAAACACACTAATACCTACACACACACACCTACACACACTCATACCTACACTCATACTAAAACACACTCACACCAAAACACACTCATACCTATACACACTCAAACTAAAACACACTAATACCTACACACACACACCTACACACACTCATACCTACACTCATACTAAAACACACTCACACCAAAACACACTCATACCTATACACACCAAAACACACTCACACCTACATACACACACCAAAACACACTCATACCCACACACACCAAAACACACTCATACCCACACACACAAAAACACACTCACACCTACACACACCAAAACAAACTCATACCCACACACACCAAAACACACTCACATCCACACACACCAAAACACACTCACACCTACACACACACACCAAAACACACTCACACCTACACACACACCAAAACACACTCATACCTACACACACACACTAAAACACACTCACACCTACACACACACACCAAACACACTCATACCTACACACACTTACACCTACACAGCCACACAGATACTCACACACATACACATACAGACACCCATACACCCACGTGCACACAGACACTCACACCTACACACACTCACACCTACACGCACGTACACACACGTACACTCACACCTACACACACACTCACACCTACACACACACTCACACCTACACACTCACACCTACACACACTCACACCTCCACACACGTACACACACAGACACCCACACACCTACACACACACTCACACCTACACATTCACACCTACACACTCACATCTACACACACTCACACCTCCACACACGTACACACACAGACACCCACACACCTACACACACTCACACCTACACACTCACACCTACACACACACTCACACCTACACACACTCACACCTCCACACACGTACACACACAGACACCCACACACCTACACACACTCACACCTACACACACTCACACCTCCACACACCTCACACACCTACACACACACTTACACCTACACACACCTACACACCCCCACCCACACCTACACACACACACACGTACACACACGTACACACACGTACACACACACACCCACACCTACACACACACACACACACCTACACACACGTACACACACGTACACACCTACACACACGTACACACACGTACACACACTCACACCTACACACACTTACACCTACACACACGTACACACACACACGTACAGACACCCACACACCTACACACACGTACACCTACACACACGTACACACACGTACACACATACACACACCTACACACGCACACACACACCTACACACACGTACACACACAGACACACGTACACACACACACGTACACACACGTACACACACACCCCCACCCACACCTGATGAGTCACTTCCGAACCGCACCTCGTGACGTCATTCATTTGGCCTCCCAGCGGCGTCTTCCGGGGAGAAGAGGGGAGACGTCGCCTGGCACCAGCGGGTCACGGTGGGGGGAGGGGTGGAGGGGGGTGGGGGGAGGGGTGGGGGGTGTGGCTGTGAGACGCAGCAACACGCGCGCCTTGTACTGTAGCGCTGGGTGCTAAGTGACTGCAGTGTCACCCACTATCCGTGGTGGTGGTGGTAGTGGTGGTGGTAGTGGTGGTGGTGGTAGTGGTGGTGGTGGTAGTGGTGGTGTTGGTGGTGGTAGTGGTGGTGTTGTTGGTGGTGGTAGTGGTGGTAGTGGTGGTGTTGGTGGTGGTGGTGTTGGTGGTGGTAGTGGTGGTGGTGGTAGTGGTGTTGGTGGTGGTAGTGGTGGTGGTGGTAATGGTGGTGGTGGTGGTGGTAGTGGTGGTGGTAATGGTGGTGGTGGTGGTGGTAGTGGTGGTGTTGGTGGTGGTGGTAGTGGTGTTGTTGGTGGTGGTGTTGTTGGTGGTGGTGGTAGTGGTGGTGTTGTTGGTGGTGGTGTTGGTGGTGGTGGTAGTGGTGGTGTTGGTGGTGGTAGTGGTGGTGGTAGTGGTGGTGTTGGTGGTGGTAGTGGTGGTGTTGTTGGTGGTAGTGGTGTTGTTGGTGGTAGTGGTAGTGGTGGTAGTGGTGTTGTTGTTGTTGGTGGTGGTAGTGGTGTTGTTGGTGGTGGTGGTGTTGGTGGTGGTAGTGGTATTGTTGGAGGTAGTGGTGTTGTTGGTGGTGGTGGTGGTAGTGGTGTTGGTGGTGGTGGTAGTGGTGGTGTTGGTGGTGGTGGTAGTGGTGTTGTTGGTGGTGGTGTTGTTGGTGGTGGTGGTGTTGTTGGTGGTGGTGGTGTTGGTGGTGGTGGTAGTGGTGGTAGTGGTGGTGGTGGTAGTGGTGTTGGTGGTAGTGGTGTTGTTGGTGGTGGTAGTGGTGTTGTTGGTGGTGGTGGTGTTGTTGGTGGTGGTGTTGTTGGTGGTAGTGGTGGTAGTGGTGTTGGTGGTAGTGGTGTTGTTGGTGGTGGTAGTGGTGTTGTTGGTGGTGGTAGTGGTGTTGTTGGTGGTGTTGTTGGTGGTAGTGGTGGTAGTGGTGTTGGTGGTAGTGGTGTTGTTGGTGGTGGTAGTGGTGTTGTTGTTGGTGGTAGTGGTGGTGTTGTTGGTGGTGGTGTTGGTGGTGGTGGTGGTAGTGGTGGTGGTGTTGGTGGTGGTGGTGGTAGTGGTGTTGTTGGTGGTGGTAATGGTGGTGTTGGTGGTGGTAGTGGTGTTGTTGGTGGTGGTAGTGGTGTTGTTGGTGGGAGTGGTGGTGGTAGTAGTGGTGGTAGTGGTGGTGGTAGTGATGGTTGTGGTGGTGGTGGTGTTGGTAGTGGTAGTGATGGGTTGTGGAGGTGATTGTAGTGGTGGTAGTAGTGGTGGTGGTTGTGGTAGTAGTGGTAGCCTTGGTGGTGGTGGTGGGGAGGTCGATTGTGACGTCAGCACGAGCCCGTGTGTGTTCACGCCGTGTGTGTGCCGCGTGTGTGAATGCGCGTGCTGTGTGTGTGTGTGTTGTCTGTGTGTGTGGGTGTGCGTCCGGCAAAAACAACCCCCTACCTCCTCGGGGTGCCGGACGGCAGCGGTGTGGTGAGCAGTGCCGTGGGGATGGAGGGCCAATTTAGATTGGCCTTTCCCCCCATGGCATCTGTAACCATCAAAGTGGCCAAATGGGGGCTCTGGACGGGTGCGAGGGGCTGGTAACCCCTCCATCTTCAATTAACTACCACTAAACTACGATGCAAAAAACGTATGAAGCTTATGCCAGAGGCCCCGGGGGCACAGGGATCTATGACGTATCCGGGCCAAACCCCATTTGGTGGAGCCAGGAGACTGAATCCTTATCCTCGGGGCTCCTCCAGAAACAACAAAAAGCCACTTCGGATGGCCACGTGGAATGTTTGAACGCTCGCTGCGGAGGAGAGGCTGCCACTCCTCTGTCGGGAGCTGGACCGGTACCGCCTGGATCTCTGTGGTATTCAGAAGGTCCGGTGGACTAGCTGTGGCTCCTGCCGCCATGAGGGGTGGACAGTCCTCTACTCGGGGCAGCAGACTGCCAAACATAGGGAGTGGCTGTTCTTCTGAACAAAGGAATAAAGGAGGCGTGGAAGCGTGGCGGTGAGGTGTGGGAAGCTGTAAGCTCCAGGCTACTTTGGGCTCACCTTCCCATCAACCAGAGGCGAGGAGTGGTGGTCGTGGTTACTTACAGTGAGGGAAAAAAGTATTTGATCCCCTGCTGATTTTGTACGTTTTCCCACTGACAAATAAATGATCATTCTATAATTTTAATGGTAGGTTTAGTTGAAGAGTGAGAGACAGAATAACAACAACAAAAAATCCAGAAAAACGCATGTCAAAAATGTTATAAATTGATTTGCATTTTAATGAGGGAAATAAATATTTGACCCCCTCTCAATCGGAAAGGTTTCTGGCTCCCAGGTGTCTTTTATACAGGCAACGAGCTGAGATTAGGAGCACACTCTTAAAGGGAGTGCTCCTAATCTCAACTTGTTACCTATATAAAAGACACCTGTCCACAGAAGCAATCAATCAATCAGATTCCAAACTCTCCACCATGGCCAAGACCAAAGAGCTCTCCAAGGATGTCGGGAACAAGATTGTAGACCTACACAAGGCTGGAATGGGCTACAACA